ACATTTTAAGTCTTTCTAACTATAAGTGTACTTTTTCTTGACATTTTCCTAAAAAGTTCGTCATCGCACAAATATTCAGTCCATAATATTCTGAGAATTCTTCCATGTAACCAGCATTCTGCCATTTGATTTGTTTCAAGTATCATCCACTGTATAAAGAATTTTTTCTTCTTTCGTTGCCATACTGAAAGAGAAATACATCTTTTTTTTCGTTTCTGATGCTACCTGAATTTTATCAAAAACAATATAATTTCCATGCCTGAAGATGACTGAATGTACAAACGAAAGTACTCGCGTATTTAAGAAAAACTATTACAGTTATAATTTAAAAAACAAAAACAAGGATCATAACATTCATCGAGTGATTAGTAGGTTAATGCATCTTTAAAATTTTGTTAGCGAAGGGATTTCGCCATTTTAGATCATTAACTTTACTAATTTACTTTTTGTATGAATGATTCATTGTAAAATAAATCGAAGTGAACCACATATGTCATTTAAAAGAACTAATCCGACGTGCAAATTTTCGGGATAACAACTGAGATATTACTCTACTTATTGAACTATTTAGTTCATACCACATTGACTGATATAATCCCACAATGAAAAATTCTCAAATTGCCATATTAATAAAAAAAAAACGCACTCATTTAAATCTTCCAAAAATTCAACCCTAGCGTTGCGACTGCACGCTCCACAAGTTTGTAACTTTATACTGATACAAATTATTAACACCTTACACCCCTGTTTATTTAAACAATCGCTATAGCCGTTACCATAGAAATAGCCGTTGATTTCAATAATGAATATGCTATTAAAACACGTAAATTTCAGAAATAAGTTATTCAAAAAAAAAAAAAAAAAAAAATTCGCTTGAAGATGGAACAGAGCTTACTTTAATTCAGTTTAATTCAAATAATGATATTGAAGTTTTCGGCTCTTGTTTTGAAACATGTGAACTCTTATGTAGCGTGTTGGAATCGTATTTTTAAATAAATAATTATATTTATGCTCTACTTTTGTATCGAGCACTATTTTTTAAAAATAATAACAAAAATATTAAAGAACTTTGGATTATTTACCTAACGAGTTCTTTCCTAATTTCTATATATTTTTACATACACACACACACACACACACATACACACATTTCTCTCTTTCTTACCTCTTCTCTCTCCATAAAGTGTCAAAATAAAACATAGGAATGAGAAAAGTGTGAAGCAAACAATTGAATGAAAAGAAAGACAAAAACGAAAAAAGGTAAAATGCAAATTGAAAAATTTAATTTTTCATTATTTCAACACAGATTTTTTCATATGTCTACAAGAATGAAGCATAAAAAAAGAAATGAATAAAGAAAAATAAAAAAAAGTACGAAAATAAGTATAGAGAAGAAAGAGATATTGGAATAAAAGAATGAAAGAAATTCGAATAAGAATGAATGAATTAAGACAGAAAGAAAGAGAAAATAAAAGAATGTACGAAAGAAAAGAAAGAAAGAAATAAAATGAAAAGAAAGAAGAAAATAAATAAGTGTAAAAAAGAAAAAAAAATGTTCAACAGAATAAAAAAAGTAAAAGAAAGAAAGAAAGACAAAGAAATAAGAGAATAAAATAAATAAAGATAAAAAGAAAAAAAATATTAAACAACGTAAGAAAATTAAAAGAAAGAAAGAAAGAATCACATTATGAAGCAAACTAAAATAAGATACAGAAAAGAAAGGAATAATGAATAAAAAGAATAAAAGAAAAGGAAAGAAAGAACCAAAAAGAAAGAACGTACGAAGCCAAGGAAGAAAAAAAAGAAAGATATAGAAATAAGTAAGGGAAGAAAAGAAAGAAAAAAATAAATGTAAAATAATAATAAAAAAAAAAAATAAGCAAGTCAGCAAAAAACAAATAAAAAAAGAAAGAACGATAAATAAAAAAAAATATTAATACATAAGGATAAAAATATTAAACATATCAACAAAGAAAGAAAGATACAAATAAAGAAATAATAAAATAAGATTAAAAAGAAAGAATAAGTTTTAAAAGCAAAGTAAAAAGAAGTAAAATTAATAATGTATAATAAAAATAAAACAAACAGAAATAATGATAAAAAGAAAGAACATAAAAATCAAGGAAAAGGAAAAGGAAAGAAAGAAAGAAAGAAAGAAAGAAAGAAAGAAAGAAAGAAAGAAAGAAAGAAAGACGGGCGGACGGGAGAAAGAAAGAAAGAAAGAAAGAAAGAAAGAAAGAAAGAAAGAAAGAAAGAAAGAAAGAAAGAAAGAAAGAAGGACGGACGGACGGACGAAAGAAAGAAAGAAAGAAAGAAAGAAAGAAAGAAAGAAAGAAAGAAAGAAGGAAAATAATTAAAAAAGAAAGAAAATAAATAAGTTTAAAAAAGAAAAAAATGAGGAACAAACCAAAAAAATAAATAAATAAAAGAAGGAAAGGACGATTCAGAAATAAGAAAATAAAATAAATAAGGATTAAAAAAGGAAAAAATATTAAGCATGTCAAGAAAGAAACAAAGATAAAAAATAAAGAAGGAATAAAATACGTGTGAAAAGAAAGAATAATTTTTCAAGCAAAAACCGATAAAAGAAAAGGAAGAAATAAAATGAATATTGAATAAAAAGAAAAGCAAACAAAACGAAAAGAATGAAAGCTAAGAGATGAAGAAATAAAGAAGGAAAAATGTTGAAAACAAAAAGAAAAAAGAAAGAAAGAAAATAAGTGTAAAAAGGAAAAAAAAATGATAAACAAGAAAAACAAATGAAAGAAAGAAAAAGAAAGAAAGAAAGAACTATAAAGGATTAAAAAAGAGAAATGTTAAACATGTCAACAAAGAAAGAAAGAAAGAAGAAAGAAAAATAAGTATAAAAAGAAAGAAAAAATAAAGCAATGAAAAAGGAGATAAAGAAAAGTAAAAAGTAAAATGAGTAATGAGTACAAGAACAAACAGAAAGAAAACGATAAAAAGAAAGAACGTTCGTTAGCCTAGAAAGGAAGAAGTGAAGTAAAAAATACTGAAAGCAGAAAGAAAAAAGGAAGAAGGTAAATAAGCGTAAAAAAAGAAAAAAAATGATATATTAGCCAACAAAAATAAATGAAAGAAAGAAAGAAAAAAGAACCGTAAAAGATTAAAAAAAATAAAATAAAATAAACGCCAACAAAGAAACAAGGAAAGAAAGACGAAATAAAATAAATTTAAAAGTATATAAACATTTTTAAAGCAATGCAAAAAGAGAAAAAGAAAGAAAGAAAGGAAATGAATAACGAAATAAAAAAATAAAAAATATAAAGAATGAATGATAAAGAAATAATAAATTAAAATAAATAAGGATTAAAAAAGAAACATGTTAAACAATCTAACAAAGAAATAAAAAAGAAAGAATGAAAGAAAGAACAAATAAAAAAGGGTAAAAAAGAATAATTTTTAAAATAAAGAAAATGTGACAAAGAAAAGGAAGAAGTAAAACGAGAAATGAAAAAAAAAACAATAAACAAACAGAAAAAAAAAACGACAAAAAGAAAGAACGTTCGTTAGCCTAGAACAGAAGTAAAAATACTGAAAATAGAAAGAAAAAAGAAAGAGATAAATAATTGTAAAGAAGAAAAAATTATACATTAGCCAACAAAAATAAATGAGTGAAAGAAAAAAAACAACGGTAAGCGATTAAACAAATTAAAAAAAAACGCAAAGAAAGAAAGAAAAAATAAATAAAAATAAATGTAAAAAGATATAATTTTTAAAACAATGCAAAAAGATAAAATGTAAAACAAATGAAATAATGGGAATAAAGAAATAAAAAATAAAAAAAATAAAAAGAAAGAAAGAACGATAAAGAAAGAAGAAAAATAAATAAGCATTAAAAAAGAGAAATATTAAACAAGCTAAGAAAGAAAGAAAAAAGAATGAAAGAAAAAACACAAAAATAAGGATAAAAAGAATCATTTTTTAAGGCAAAACAAAAAGCGATAATGGAAATAAAAAATGAATTAAACATCAAAAACATAAAAATAAAAAAGAAAGAAAATCCATTTTTCACCAGCTGATTAAGAAAAGAGTTTAAGTATGAATGAAACAAGGTGAATGAATAAAGAAAAAAAAAGACAATAATAATCTTTACGCGGCTTAACTATTACCATAATCCTTTAATCTTTGCGATGACATTCTTATCATTATGCATCTACTTAACCCCTTTCTTATTCTAAAAGTCATCATCAATTTGGAGAACGAGATAATAGATTTTTGATGATTGTAATCATTATATATTGGACTTGCGCAATTTGTCTTAATTACATTTGACACAACAGCTTGTAATTCTCTGAGTGAAACATGAGGAATCTCAGGAGGGTACATATATATTATAGTCAATTTATTATTCTTTATGGTTGCGTCTGTTTCTCACGTTAATACTGAAAGAAGCGGCACATCATAGCGAGATATTGATAGGGCAATACTGATAAAATTCTCTAACTTGAAGGATATCATCCAGTTTGCAACGTAATAATAATAATAATAATTATTATTATTATAATAACTACTTTGATCAGTGATTGAAAAATGATAGCTCAAAAAGAATATGAGGAGCCATGGTGTGCTTCATAAGCAGTGGTTATTGTGTCGAAAGTATAGATACGAAATTACAGAAGGATGCTGTGCTGTCGACAAAATCAAAAAAAAGCACATGCGCGAAATTAGAAATAAAAAATGGAAAAAATTTACACATCGCACCCTATATATATATATATATATATATATATATATATATATATATATACATATATAAGTGTATATTGAAATCAACACACAGAGGTGGTCGGTTTCATGATAAACGCAAACGTCAGGCCATTTTATCTGTTTCATGCGTTTGCAAGGTTGTGTCGCTAAAACAATTACGATACTCACTGGGTGCCCCTTAATTCGGCCTTGTGCCACATCTAAGCTACGCTTGGAAAATCAGTCTCATGCGTTTCAATATCCACTTTATATTTATATACACTCCATTTTCAATATCCATTTTATATTTATATACAGACCATTTTAAACCATAAAAATATACCTTAAAACCATATTTCCTCCTTCATATATATATATATATATATATATATATATATATATATATATATATGCTGATGCAAGTCTCTTCGTTAAAAAACTGATGACTTAAAAAAAAAATTCAATAATCAATAAAGCCGATTAAAATAAATAAATTCAACTTTCTTCCTCCGAATTCTTTCAAACTCGCTATTTAGGCTACTTACATAATTACGAGCTCATCAATATCTTATTTTTTTTTATTTCTATGCCACTGCGTTTAGCGAAAAACGAAAAAACGATTTCAGCACAAATCGATTTCAACACAAATTTTAAACTAAAAACTCCCTCAGTTTTCAATCAATCTAATACAAACTTCACTCAATTGTAGCCAATCGTAAGTTGATTGTTTAACCGTCATTTAATTTCATAAGTGATTCCACCCGTATAGTGAAGACCCGCGTAAATAGCGAAAAAAAAAGCGATTTTTACTGGTTTCTTTCTTATTTTTCATTGATCTTTCTCCCAATTTTTATCAAATTTAATAATTGCTTTATAAGTCTATCCTCTTTTAAATCCCTGGTAGCACACTGACAAATTGAATTTCACAAACTCCATAATAACTGTGGTCTGAACTGGGTTTTCATGTTGCCTGTTTTACCCGTTCATATCCTCGGCTAACTTTGATTGAATAAATACAGACTATTTCTGTTATATCAGTAACTGCATTAATTCAAAATGTTTATAATGAAAGTATTTTAAAGCAATTTTGAAGAAGATAGACTCTGTTAAATCTAAACGTGATACTGTTTTTGCTCCATTCTTATGGAACGCTTTTTTCAGATCGATTACCTGGGTTTAGCTGCTAGTATTGAATATTGGAAGGGATAAGGGAAAGAATGAGAAGATACAGACGAAAAGTGAGAGAAGAAATATAAGACAATAGATAATTTTATTCGTCAACATTTGTGAAACTTCTCCGGGGCCAACAAGCATGGACGGACATTGATGATTAGAAAGGTTGAGAAAAAAAAAAAAAAGAAAAATGCAGGCAAAATTCACAGTTTTGCCGAGACAAGAAATAATAGATGATTTCCATTCTTAATTCCTGAAAAAGTACCAAATCCAGTTATTTGGACATTAAGAGCGAAAGTAATCGACTGAAAAATAAATTTAAAAAAAAACTACCTAAAACTTAATCCTAAAAAGTACTTACCTTAAAATTCAAATTTAAAACGATTACCAAATAGAATGTAGAATACACTATGCTAATAATTTATTGATTCAAAACGTGTTAAGTGGATTAGATTATTGGACGAACTCCAGGGTCATGTGGCTAAATTGAACAAAAGACACTGAGCCTAATCGATTAAAACGTTTGTATGTGATTCAGTGACGAGTTGTGAGTTCAAACTCTGGCTTTGTTAGGGCTGTAAACGTTGTCTGTTTCAATCGAAGAGACAGACACGCGACACTACGATGAATGTGTTTTAAGTGATATGATATCCCCTTAATTTGAAAAGAGGAATCAGTGTAACGCTTCAAGAGATACGTGGGGCCTGAGGGATGAAAATGTTTGCCAAAATATAAGTTTCTCCGGCCAATACGAGTTCAATTCCTGAGTCTGGTTAGTCAGACTCGCGGTAGCTTTGAAAAAAAGTCACACCTTACAATCAGTCGAAGAAATGGGCAAATAACACCAAGGTGAATCAGACTCGTGGTAGTGTTGAAAAAAGTCACATATTATGTTTCGATGGAAGAAACGGGCAAATAGCATCAAGGTGAATCAGACTCGGGGTAGTTTTGAAAAAAGTCACACCTTACGGTTCAGTTTAAGAAATGGGCAAATAACACCAAGGTGAATCAGATTCGTGGTAGTGTTGAAAAAAGTCACATATTATGTTTCAATGGAAGAAACGGGCAAATAGCATCAAGATGAATCAGACTCGGGGTAGTTTTAAAAAAGTCACACCTTACGGTTCAGTGGAAGAAATGGGCAAATAACACCAAGGTGAATCAGACTCATGGTAGTGTTTAAAATGTCACATATTATGTTTCAATGGAAGAAACGGGCAAATAGGTGAATCAGACTCGGGGTAGTTTTGAAAAAAGTCACACCTTTTGGGTCAGTGGAAGAAATGGGCAAGTAAAAAACAAAGGTGAATCAAACTCATGGATGTTTTTATTTTAATCATTTCTCCTCGAGAAAAGCGATAATGCCACTAAGACGCAGGGGTTTACTAGGAGTGAAAGGGAATGAGAAGACATTAGTGAAGAGTAGTGAAGAAAAGGACAATAAATGAACAGGATTCAGAAGACAAAAGATGGCTATAATGCCACTAAGACGGAGGAAGTTACTGGGGGTGAAATGAGGAAAAGGACAATAAAGGAAAATGTTTCAGAAAGACGTAAGATGGCGATAGTGTCACTAAGACGCAATGGGTTACAGGGAGTGAAAGAGAAAGAGAAGATTTTATTGAGGAGAAGTGAGAAAAAGGACAATAAAGGAACAGGGTTCAGGAAGAGAGAAGATGGCGATTGACGTTGCATTTAATTTTTGAAGATTGTAGTTACCAGAGAAGCAAAAAATCGGAAGGGATTTCTGCAGTTGAAAAGTGTGAGAAAAGAAACTATTCGAATCGAACAGTGCCATCTCGCTAGTCTGACAGTAAAACGGTGGGACCTAGTTGCCAATCTTGCAGCAAGCTGAAATTCCTGTAGTCGAGATGAAAGCATGGGACCCGGATTGAGAACAATCTACCACTTTTGACTAAATAAAAGCTTTTCTTCAAGTGTCTGTGGAGTTGGTCAAGTAGGACGTCAGATAACTGAAGAAGGCCGAAGGCTACAACAACCGAAACATGGTGACTATAACAACCAGGATGGAGATGCTAGTCCGAATAGGAAAGTAAATAATGAACAAAAACTAGAACCTCAAGGACACTTGTCCCAGTGGATCAAAGCGTTGGTTGGATCCACTGAATTGACGCAAAGAGTTGTGAGTTCAATACCAGGCTACTGCAGTGGTAAACAAAATCTCGTAAAGTTGAGTTAAAGGGAGATAACTGAGATATCCGGAAGTGGCATGGCACGGGGAAGTAGGTCTATCCCGATGGATGAAATAAAGTGTTCAGTTCGAAATTCCAATTTCCTGAAGAAGGAGTGTACAACTTTTGAAACGTCGTGAATATAACATTAAAGATGAGGACAACAGTCTGAACAATGTAAATAATGTAAATTGTTACAATACCACATCACAGAAAACAGACAGATCCTGAAAAAGCCGGATCGTACAGCGGCCGAAACGTCGTTAATATGACAATAAAGATGAGGACAACAGTCGGAATAATGTAAATAATGGCAATACCTCATCTCAGACATATAGACAAAAAATTAGAGCAGTTTTTTTTTTCAAACGCGTATGTCAGTAGTTGGCAACCTTTTGCTATGTGCCGATTTAGGGTTTTAAAATAATTCAGTGTGCCAACGGCCTACGTATTTTTATACAAGTCAGAATCAATATACCTGTTCTATAATATATTTTATATAGTAATATGTAGTATATATATCTAAGTATACATTAAAATTGAAACAGATAAATACACGCTTGTGCAAATTAATTGAAACAAAAAGAATAATTCCGTTATTATTTACTTTTTTTTCCGTATTTTCTCAATGAAACATGACCCAATGCACATGTCAGTACTTGATAGGTCCACTCCATGAAGTCGTTCCTTGCAGATTGACCACAGATTCTCGATTGGATTTAAATCAGGAGAATTTCCAAGCCGAGAGATTCTTTCACAAAATCAAAGAATTTGGAGTGGACAAACTTAGTAGATAAAAAGTCTATACTCTTTATTAAACAGACAAACACATGCGCACTAGAATTCCAGCGGCGCTTGACACGGGAAGGCTCGGAATAAACGTCCCTACTAGAAACTAGAACACAAAAAATACATCTTAAAGAGTCAATGATGAAGAGGATTTAACAACATTTAAAATAACCCCCACTTAAAAATATGGCTAAAAAATTAAGTGGTTGAAAGCTCTTGGGGTAACTGGTAATATGAACAATATCTGAAATCCCATCTTCTCACCTAACGGGAAGAAAAATGCAAGGACGCTGGAGAAAACTAAATTAAAAAAATAATTACATTTTCCATGTATGTCATATTTATTGAGAGAGGTTTGAAAGAAAGGATTCTGCCCAAATATACATTAGTATCTATCTATCTATCTATATATATATATATATGTTGTGGTAAGATCCACCTAATTTACATAGTGGAGTACCGACCATATAAATATGGGTTGGTACCGGGAAGACGAGGAAGAAGTAAGAAGAGATCCAATCGAGAGACTCTGCCCGACTGCGATTAAGTCAACCCATTCTACAGGAACAGTCTTCCCAAGAATATACCAAAACTAACTGTAAATATTGTGTACCTTTTCCTTGTTTCAATACATTTTGTTTACGTACATTTGTGTTGTATTATTATTATTCCATGCTTATCCAAGCTTCAACAATATATATATATATATATATATGTGTGTGTGTGTGTGTGTGTGCGTGTGTATGTGTGTGTGTGTATGTATATGTGTGTGTCTGTGTGTCTGTAAAAAAAATATATAGAAAAATAGGAAAGAAAACGTTAGCTAAATAATCCGAGGTTCTTTAGTATTTTTGTTTTTATTTTTAAAATCAATGCTCAATACATAAGTAGAGCCTAAATTATAATTATTTTTTTAAAAAATATGAGTTCCTTCTTCTACATAAGAGTTCTCATATTTCAAAAAGAGGGGCCAAAAACTTCAATATAATAATTAAAATTAAATTGAATTAAAGTATCAAGCTCTGTTTCATCCTGAAGCGAAAACTTTCCAAAACTTTTGCTTGAGGATGAAACAGAGCTTATATTATATATAACCTAAAGAGCCATACTAACCTACCTAGAGCGGACGATCAGCGTAGGTGAAACCTAGGTAGGTTAGTCTGGCTCTTTAGGTTTATTTACTTATTTTGCTCTGCTTAGCGTATTGAGCACTTTCTTTAGTTATTTTACTTTACTCGTGTTGGAGGTTTTTTTTTTCTTTGGACTCTGAACTTAGATTTTAGACGATTATTTCCGCCGGAAGTACATGTTCTTAGTTCTTTCTTTTTTACCCTTTTTTTCCCTTTGGTATTAGTTTGTTCATTTACAAGGTAAAACACCTAAGGTTTTGCCGGACGAGTATAGCTGCTTACATTTATAAGTTTATTAGTGTTACACACACACACACACACACACACACACACACACACATATACATATATATATATATATATATATATATATATATATATATTATTTTATATGTGCATTGGAAATGTTCAATATCAATGATAGAGCTAACATATTCATTTGTATGGATATGAAATTTGGGATATATATATATATATATATATATATATATGTGTGTGTGTGTGTGTGTGTGTGTGTGTATGTGTGTGTATGTGTGTGTGTGTGTGTGTTTGTGTGTAACCGAATGGGTAAATATATGAACGAGCGAGGTATCGTATACAAATACCTATAAATATTCTATTGTGTAAGAATAAACAATATTCAATGTAAAGTAACATAGCTATTAAATATATATAAATATTAAGCAATATACATATCTTGCATTAATTGCAATTATATATATATATATATATATATATATATATATGTATATAGCCTACGGTAGAGAGCTCTTTGGATGAAATTAATCTATGGGAGGCTACAAATAGTATGATTTCTTATCATTTGCATTAGATGTACGTCAAATCTTCTTCTTCTTCTTCTTCTTCTTCTTCTTTTTCTTCTTCTTCTTCTTTTATGCTCCTTGTCTAGTCAGAGCGTTGGCGATCACGGCCCTCCGCAATTTCCTGTCCTTTGTAGCACTTAATAAATTTTGTGTTTTTGTTATCTCTCCAAAACCTTGTTCCACCATGCGCTAACTCAACCTCACTATATAGGTTATGCGTTGTTTTTCTGTCTCCCTCTTGCCTTCAACACTCCTGTGAGTATCAAATTTTCTAAGCCCTCTTTCCTCATTTGTAATGTATTTGTAAGGAAACCGTTTATAAGCAGCTGTGCAAAGATCGTCGTGAATAGACACACGACACACAGTGACCACGAGTAAGCGGTATTTCGTATGTTTGAAGATCAAACTAAACCAAATAAAAGAAAAATAAAATAAACGAATCATGAAGGACTGAGACTTTGAGTGAGTAGTAAGTGGGGTAATGTGACTTAGGAGCATGATCTCAGATTAGGTTGATGTAAAAAGCTGAAGTCGTCCAAATTGGGACGAATCTAATGAAGCGTTGTGTTAATCGGCCCACTTAACGCAAGATTTTAATCTGCAACCCTTGACTTAGCCGACAGGACAGATTTAAATGGATTGCCGGAGTGAGCAGGGAGAGAAATAGGGAGAAAGAGAATGTTAGAGAGGCAAGGATAATAGCCAGAGATTATGGATTTAGATATAGTTAATCCGTACGATCGGCATTACATAAAATCATTTGCTAGCTTGGTAAGTTTGAAATAATCTTCGTATATAAATACAAATCAAAAATATATTCAGACATATATTAACACACACACACACACATACATATATATATATATATATATATATATATATAGATAGATAGATAGATAGATAGATAGATAGATATGAATATATTGCTAATGTTTTGTTGCTCGTGAATTTCCCTCAAAGTGTAGACAATTGAATTGATTTTGTAATTTTAAGATTAAAATTTAATGAAATACCAAAACGGAAAAAGACAAATCACATTTTATTAATATTCACCCTCCACATTATACATGATTTAAATATCCCCCCGCCCCTCCTCATCATAATCAATAACAAATACAAATGTTCATTGTCATCAGCAACATCATTACATAAAACCATTTGCTAACTAGGTAATATTGAAATAAACTTCGTATATAAATATAAATCAGAAGTAGGCTCAAACATATAATAATAATAATGTTATGGGGTCCACCCCTTTTTTCATATGTGGACTCTACCAGTGTACCTGAACTGCTGTCGTTAAATACCCAGAGTTAGACAGTCAGTGAGGGTAGTCGGATAGGGACGGAGTAGTCGGAAAGAGAGAGGGAATATACGAACGGAGTGTGAGGTAGCCTCTAGTAGAAGTCAGTTACAAGCACGTAGACTCTAAGGAAGTCCTTCTTCGAGACTGTATATATCTATCTGTATTTGCTACTAACCGTGTTTCTGGATTTACTAACAGTATTACCCTTTGTATGATTGTGTAAATACATTTTATTTCTTATATTTAATTATTGCGTTTGTTCTTCATTGGAGACCGATTTAATCTCGGAATCCACAACAAATAATAATAATAATAATAGCTGGCGGCTAGCCAATCCCTATTGCAGAGTCTCGCTCAGGCGTTCAATACCCACACATTCAACCTGTGGTTTATACTGCAACTATGCTGAGCAGACATGAGTTACAGTGTCTGGGAGAGAGCGTGTTATCTAGCGTCATCAACAATCTGAACAACATTAGCCCACTGAAACCCTCGGTCACGATGACTTGTGACTTCGTGTTACCAACGGTCACATGTGTTCCGTCCCCCTTGTGTCAACCCGTGGTACGGTTTTCAGGCACTTTCCAACGGTGCCACACGTTGACAAATCGACTATCGTCAGATTCGAACACGGGTCTCATATATATATATATATATATATATTTCGACTTCAAAGCAAACTGCAAATAGAGCGAGACATCTCAACTTCAGGAAAGTTTTTCGTTCCTCTCCAACCAGATCAAGCCGAAAATGGAGTTCTCTGGCCATATTTCTCTGGGAGCTGCCCAGACCTCACTTTTGATAAAGTTTAACAGCGACTCCAAGTTCTTGTTGTCACAATCCAACCTCTCTCTTTCTCTCTCTCTTTCTCTCTCTCTTTCTCTCTCTTTCTCTCTCTCTCTTTCTCTCTCTTTCTCTCTCTCTCTCAAAGGCGGGACGTGGCGAGTCTCTCACTGTTCTGTCGCAAATACCATGGAAAGTGTTCGGACGAACTCGACCACCAGCTTTAACCTTCACGGCTAGTACAGGCCATATGCCTTAAATTGTAGCAAGCCACCCACATTCCGCCTGTATTCCATTGGCGGGATTTAAGTTCCACTCGAACAACTTCTTCCGGCGAATTATTTCTCTGTGGAATCAACTCCCAAGAGGATGTTTCCCCGATTATCTACAATCTTAAACCCTCTAAAATTCAGGGCTGGGAAGCCACATGCCAGTCACGTTGTAGCAAACCAGTCGTATTCCTTTTCTGTTCAAATGGTGAGAAATAAGTTCCACTCGAACAGCTTCTTTCCGTGAACTACTTCTCTGTGGAACAAACTCCCAAGAGGATATTTCCCCGATTATCTACAATTTTAACCCTCTAAACTTCAGGGCTGGGAAACCAGGTGCCACTCATATTGTAGCAAGCTACTCGCATTCCTTTTTTATTCCATTGGTGAGAAGTAAGTTCCACTCGAACAGCTTCTTTCCGTGAACCACTTCTCTGCGGAACCAACTCCCAAGAGGATGTTTCCCCGATTATCTACATTCTTAACCCTCTAACCTTCAGGGCTACGAACCCCCGTGCCATTCACATTATAGGAAGCCACTCGCATTCCTTTTCTGTTCCATGGGTGAGAAGGAAGTTCCACTCGAACAGCTTCTTTCCGTGAACCACTTCTCTGCGGAATCAACTCCCAAGAGGATGTTTCCCCGATTATCTACAATCTTAACTCTCTAACCTTCAGAGCTGGGAACATCCGTGTCACTCAGATGATAGCAAGCCACACGCATTCCTTTTTTGTTCCATTGGTGAAAAGTAAGTTCCACTCGAACAGCTTCTTTCCGTGAACCACTTCTCTGTGGAACCAACTCCCAAGAGGATGTTTCCCCGATTATCTACAATCTTAACCCTCTAACCTTCAGGGCGTGTAACCGGTACCACTCACAATGTAGCAAGCCCTCGCATTTCCTTTTCTGATCCATTGTTGAAGAAGGAAGTTCCTCGAACAGCTTCTTTCCGTGAACCACTTCTCTATGGAACCAACTCCCAAGACAATGTTTCCCCTATTATCTACAATCTAACCCTCTAACCTTCAGGGCTGAACCCCCGTGCCACTCACATTATAGGAAGCCACTGCATTCCTTTTCTGATCCATTGTTGAGAAGGAAGTTCCCTCGAACAGCTTCTTTCCGTGAACCACTTCTATGGAACCAACTCCTAAGAGAATGTTTCCCCGATTATCTACAATCTTAACCCTCTAACCTTCAGGGCTACGAACCCCCGTGCCACTCACATTATAGGAAGCCACTCGCATTCCTTTTCTGATCCATTGTTGAGAAGGAAGTTCCCACTCGAACAGCTTCTTTCGTGAACCACTTCTCTATGGAACCAACTCCCAAGAGAATGTTTCCCCGATTATCTACAATCTTAACCCTCTAACCTTCAGGGCTACGAACCCCCTGCCACTCATTATAGGAAGCCACTCGCATTCCTTTTCTGATCCATTGTTGAGAAGGAAGGAACAGCTTCTTTCCGTGAACCACTTCTCTATGGAACCAACTCCCCAAGAGAATGTTTCCCTATTATCAACGGTTAACCCTCTAACCTTCAGGGCTACGAAGCCACTCACATTATAGGAAGCCACTCGCATTCCTTTTTCTGATCCATTGTTGAGAAGGAAGTTCCACGAACAGCTTCTTTCCGTGAACCACTTCACTGTGGAACCAACTCCAAGAGAATGTTTCCCCTATTATCTACAATCTTAACCCTCTAACCTTCAGGGCTACGAACCCCGTACCACTCACATTATAGGAAGCCACTCGCATTCCTTTTCTGATCCATTGTTGAGAAGGAAGTTCCACTCGAACAGCTTCTTTCCGTGAACCACTTCTCTATGGAACCAACTCCCAAGAGAATGCTTCCCCTATTATCTACAATCTTAACCCTCTAACCTTCAGGGCTACGAACCCCCCGTGCCACTCACATTATAGGGAAGCCCCTCGCATTCCTTTTCTGATCCATTGTTGAGAAGGAAGTTCCACTCGAACAGCTTCTTTCGTGAACCACTTCACTGTGGAACCAACTCCCCAAGAGAATGTTTCCCCTATTATCTACAATCTTAACCCTCTAACCTTCAGGGCTACGAACCCCGTGCCACTCACATTATAGGAAGCCACTCGCATTCCTTTTCTGATCCATTGTTGAGAAGGAAGTTCCACTCGAACAGCTTCTTTCCATGAACCACTTCTCTATGGAACCAACTCCCAGAATGCTTCCCCTATTATCTACAATCTTAACCCTCTAACCTTCAGGGCTACGAACCCCCATGCCCTCACATTATAGGAAGCCACTCGCATTCCTTTTTTCTGATCCATTGTTGAGAAGGAAGTTCCCTCGAACAGCTTCTTTCCGTGAACCACTTCACTGGAACCAACTCCCAAGAGAATGTTTCCCCTATTATCTACAATCTTAACCCTCTAACCCTCAGGGCTACGAACCCCCGTGCCACTCACATTATAGGAAGGCATTCCTTTTCTGATCCATTGTTGAGAAGGAAGTTCCCTCGAACAGCTTCTTTCAGTGAACCACTTCACTGTAGAATCAACTCCCAAGAGAATGTTTCCCCTATTATCTACAATCTTAACCCTCTAACCTTCAGGGCTACGAACCCCCGTGCCACCATTATGCCCTCTGCATTCCTTTTCTGATCCATTGTTGAGAAGGAAGTTCCACGAACAGCTTCTTTTCCGTGAACCACTTCTCTATGGAACCAACTCCCAAAGAATGCTTCCCCTATTATCTACAATCTTAACCCTCTATCCTTCAGGGCTGGGAACCTCCCGTGCCACTCACATTATAGGAAGCCACTCGCATTCCTTTTCTGATCCATTGTTGAGAAGGAAGTTCCACTAGCTTCTTTCCGTGAACCACTTCACTGTGGAACCAACTCCCCAAGAGAATGTTTCCCCTATTATCTACAATCTTAACCTCTAACCTTCAGGGGCTACGAACCCCCGTGCCACTCACATTATAGGAAGCCACTCGCATTCCTTTTCTGATCCATTGTTGAGAAGGAAGTTCCACTCAATGAACAGCTTCTTTCAGTGAACCACTTCTCTGCGGAATCAACTCCCAAGAGGATGGCGATTATCTACAATCTTAACTCTCTAACCTTCAGAGCTGGGAACATCCGTGTCACTCAGATGATAGAAACCACACGCATTCCTTTTTGTTCCATTGGTGAAAAGTAAGTTCCAGAACAGCTTCTTTCCGTGAACCACTTCTCTGTGGAACCAACTCCCAAGAGGATGTTTCCCCGATTATCTACAATCTTAACCCTCTAACCTTCAGGGCGTGTAACCGCCGTGCCACTCACAATGTAGCAAGCCACTCGCATTCCTTTTCTGATCCATTGTTGAGAAGGAAGTTCCACTCGAACAGCTTCTTTCCGTGAACCACTTCTCTATGGAACCAACTCCCAAGACAATGTTTCCCCTATTATCTACAATCTTAACCCTCTAACCTTCAGGGCTACGAACCCCCGTGCCACTCACATTATAGGAAGCCACTCGCATTCCTTTTCTGATCCATTGTTGAGAAGGAAGTTCCACTCGAACAGCTTCTTTCCGTGAACCACTTCTCTATGGAACCAACTCCCAAGAGAATGTTTCCCCGATTATCTACAATCTTAACCCTCTAACCTTCAGGGCTACGAACCCCCGTGCCACTCACATTATAGGAAGCCACTCGCATTCCTTTTCTGATCCATTGTTGAGAAGGAAGTTCCTCGAACAGCTTCTTTCCGTGAACCACTTCTCTATGGAACCAACTCCCAGAATGTTTCCCCGATTATCTACAATCTTAACCCTCTAACCTTCAGGGCTACGAACCCCCGTGCCACTCACATTATAGGAAGCCACTCGCATTCCTTTTCTGATCCATTGTTGAGAAGGAAGTTCCACTCGAACAGCTTCTTTCCGTGAACCACTTCTCTATGGAACCAACTCCCAAGAGAATGTTTCCCCTATTATCTACAATCTTAACCCTCTAACCTTCAGGGCTACGAACCCCCGTGCCACTCACATTATAGGAAGCCACTCGCATTCCTTTTCTGATCCATTGTTGAAGGAAGTTCCAGACATGAACCACTTCACTGTGGAACCAACTCCCAAGAGAATGTTTTATTATCTACAATCTTAACCCTCTAACCTTCAGGGCTACGAACCCCCGTGCCCTCACATTATAGGAAGCCCTCATTCCTTTTCTGATCCATTGTTGAGAAGGAAGTTCCACTCGAACAGCTTCTTTCCGTGAACCACTTCTCTAGAACCAACTCCCAAGAGAATGCTTCCATTATCTACAATCTTAACCCTCTAACCTTCAGGGCTGGTGCCACTCACATTATAGGAAGCCACTGCATTCCTTTTCTGATCCATTGTTGAGAAGGAAGTTCCCTCGAACAGCTTCTTTCCGTGAACCACTTCACTGTGGAACCAACTCCCAAGAGAATGTTTCCCTATTATCTACAATCTTAACCCTCTAACCTTCAGGGCTGGGAACCCCCGTGCCACTCCACATTATAGGAAGCCACTCGCATTCCTTTTCTGATCCATTGTTGAGAAGGAAGTTCCACTGACAGCTTCTTTCCGTGAACCACTTCTCTATGGAACCAACTCCCAAGAGAATGCTTCCCTATTATCTACAATCTTAACCCTCTAACCTTCAGGGCTTGCCACTACATTATAGGAAGCCACTCGCATTCCTTTTCTGATCCATTGTTGAGAAGGAAGTTCCACTCGAACAGCTTCTTTCCGTGAACCACTTCACTGTGGAACCAACTCCCAAGAGAATGTTTCCCCTATTATCTACAATCTTAACCCTCTAACCCTCAGGGCTACGAACCCCCGTGCCACTCACATTATAGGAAGCCACTCGCATTCCTTTTCTGATCCATTGTTGAGAAGGAAGTTCCACTCGAACAGCTTCTTTCAGTGAACCACTTCACTGTGGAATCAACTCCCAAGAGAATGTTTCCCCTATTATCTACAATCTTAACCCTCAACCTTCAGGGCTACGAACCCCGTGCCCCTCACATTATAGGAAGCCACTCGCATTCCTTTTCTGATCCATTGTTGAGAAGGAAGTTCCTCGAACAGCTTCTTTCCGTGAACCACTTCTCTATGGAACCAACTCCCAAGAGAAATTATCTACAATCTTAACCCTCTATCCTTCAGGGCTGGGAACCTCCGTGCCACTCCACATTATAGGAAGCCACTCGCATTCCTTTTCTGATCCATTGTTGAGAAGGAAGTTCCACTCGAACAGCTTCTTTCCGTGAACCACTTCACTGTGGAACCAACTCCCAAGAGAATGTTTCTGATTATCTACAATCTTAACCCTCTAACCTTCAGGGCTACGAACCCCCGTGCCACTCACATTATAGGAAGCCACTGCATTCCTTTTTCTGATCCATTGTTGAGAAGGAAGTTCCACTCGAACAGCTTCTTTCAGTGAACCACTTCTCTATGGAACCAACTCCCAAGAGAATGCTTCCCCTATTATCTACAATCTTAACCCTCTAACCTTCAGGGCTACGAACCCCCGTGCCACTCACATTATAGGAAGCCCTCGCATTCCTTTTCTGATCCATTGTTGAGAAGGAAGTTCCCTTTGAACAGCTTCTTTCCGTGAACCACTTCACTGTGGAACCAACTCCCAAGAGAATGTTCCCCTATTATCTACAATCTTAACCCTCTATCCTTCAGGGCTGGGAACCTCGTGCCACTCAGATTATAGGAAGCCACTCGCATTCCTTTTTCTGATCCATTGTTGAGAAGGGAACAGCTTCTTTCCGTGAACCACTTCTCTGGAACCAACTCCCAAGAGAATGTTTCCCCCTATTATCTACAATCTTAACCCTCTATCCTTCAGGGCTGGGAACCTCCGTGCCACTCACATTATAGGAAGCCACTCGCATTCCTTTTCTGATCCATTGTTGAGAAGGAAGTTCCCTCGAACAGCTTCTTTCCGTGAACCACTTCTCTATGGAACCAACTCCCAGAGAATGCTTCCCTTTTATCTACAATCTTAACCCTCTATCCTTCAGGGCTGGGAACCTCCGTGCCACTCACATTATAGGAAGCCACTCGCATTCCTTTTCTGATCCATTGTTGAGAAGGAAGTTCCTCAGAACAGCTTCTTTCCGTGAACCACTTCTCTATGGAACCAACTCCCAAGAGAATGTTTCCCCTATTATCTACAATCTTAACCCTCTATCCTTCAGGGCTGGGAACCTCCGTGCCACTCACATTATAGGAAGCCACTCGCATTCCTTTTCTGATCCATTGTTGAGAAGGAAGTTCCACTCGAACAGCTTCTTTCCGTGAACCACTTCTCTATGGAACCAACTCCCAAGAGAATGCTTCCCCTATTATCTACAATCTTAACCCTCTATCCTTCAGGGCTGGGAACCTCCGTGCCACTCACATTATAGGAAGCCACTCGCATTCCTTTTCTGATCCATTGTTGAGAAGGAAGTCCCACTCAGAACAGCTTCTTTCCGTGAACCACTTGTCTGGAACCAACTCCCAAGAGAATGTTTCCCCTATTATCTACAATCTTAACCCTCTAACCTTCATGGCTGGGAACCTCCGTGCCCTCACATTATAGGAAGCCACTCGCATTCCTTTTCTGATCCATTGTTGAGAAGGAAGTTCCACTCGAACAGCTTCTTTCCGTGAACCACTTCACTGTGGAACCAACTCCCAAGAGAATGTTTCCCCTATTATCTACAATCTTAACCCTCTATCCTTCATGGCTGGGAACCTCCGTGCCACTCAGATATTAGCAAAAAACTGACATTCCTTTTCTAGTCCACTGGTGAGAATTAAGTTCCACTTGTACAGCTTCTTTCCTTGTACTACTTCTCTGTAGAACCAACTCCCAAGAGGATGTTTACACAATCTTAACCAGTTCAAGTCTTGATTTGGTTGGTTGGGTTCGTTTTAAGGAATATGAACCGCAATGGGTTATTTAATACCGAAAATTTTTTTATTGCTTGTAATATTTTTTTCAAAATGAACTATAGATGGTAATATCTTTTTACTTCTAAAAATGTATTGCTGGTAATATTTTTTTTAAAAGGTATTTCTGGTATGTATTAAAACCTATTTTTACACTTGTTTAGACCCCAGTTTGAGTCTCAACTATTTGTCCATAGCTGGGAGCCTAACAGGTGCTACCACCCTTGGTTAGAGTGGACCTGGGAACACCGGCAATTAAGAGTTGGTTCCACACTCCTCAAAATCTCCTGATCAGTAGCCTTGCTGTTGGATGTAGTTTATCATCTTACCGAGGACCCGGATGTAGTTTAGCGTCATACACAGAAAGGTGTTCAAGTCTAGAGTCAAACGTTACCTTCGTTTCCTAGCAATACAAACTACCTCTTAAAGTACACCTGTACCTCGTTGGCACCCAGATATTAACAAAAGAAAAAAAGAATCTCTTCATCTTGTTCTAACTCAGGAAAAATGATCTTTGTCTTCCAAGCACTTTAATGTTTGTTTTTTTTGTTTGTTTTTTAGGAATGATAGAATTTTATTGGTAATTTGTTTTGATATCGTTAATTACAAAAAGCGGTATACCTCTGTTTAATAGATTATGAAAATGTGTTCAATAAATTACATTGGCTCCTGTCATTAGATGTCTTCAAGGACACATGACACATTTCTGAAATGAGGTATTATGTACACTATTTACATTCATTCGGACTATTGTCCTCATCTTTGTCACCATATTTATTACAACGTTCCGGCCCTTCAGTATCTGTCTATATTTCTGAGATGAGGTATTATGTACATTAATTAAATTTATTAGGACTATTGTCCTCATCTTTGTCGCCATATTTATTACAACGTTTCGCCCGTTGTATTCTGGCCTTCTTCAGGTGGTTGGAATGTCGAACTGAACCCTTTATTTCGCTCACTGACACATAGCACAGTGGATAAAGGCGTTAGTTAGATCCAGTGACAGGACTCAAAGAGTGTGAGTTCAATACCTGTTTAAGGCGGTGGAGAACTTGGAGAGGGTAATTAACAGGAGATAACTGACATCCATTATACATGGCACGTGGAACTAGAACAGTTTATCCCAGTGAGCGAAATAAAGGGTTCGACATTCTAACCACCTGAAGAAGGCAGGAGCGTACAACGGCCGAAACGTTGTAATAAATATGGCGACAACGATGAGGACAATAGTCCGAAGAAAGTAAATAGTGTACATAATACTTCATCTCAGAAATATAGATAGATACTGAAGGGCCGAAATGTTGTAATAAATATGGTGACACAGATGAGGACAATAGTCCGAATAATGTAAATAGTGTACATAATACCTCATCTCAGAAATATAGACAGATACTGAAAGGCCGAAACGTTGTGATAAATATGGCAACAAAGATGAGGACAATAGTCCGAATAATGTAAATAGTGTACATAATACCTCATCTCAGAAATATAGACAGATAATGAAGGGCCGAAACATTGTAATAAATATGGCGACAAAGATGAGGACAATAGTCCGAATAATGTAAATAGTGTACATAATACCTCATCTCAGAAATATAGACAGATACACAAAGCGGTATACCTCTGTTTAATAGATTATGAAAATGCATTTGATCAAGTACGGTGTAAACTAGTTGCAAATTCTGTGATCGTACGTGCAGGGCTGGGGCGTATTGGCGCTAACCCACCCTGATCGAGGGTGGGAGAGCAAGCCTAATTGTTGGTTCGAGATCCTCGCTATCTTATCAACATTTGCTTTTTTTCTATCTACATGTACGTTAAAAATTAAACTAAGTACTGCGGCTCGGATTGAGGAATCGGAGAGCCGAGTTCGAAATCCAGTCAAATCCATTACATTCACTTACGTGTTGATACCCTTGGGAAAGGTATGAATTTTCTTCTTTCCCTTGCTATGGGTAAATAGCGGGACAGACCGGGTTCAGTAGCTTTGAATGGCAAGTGGTCTATCGCAGAAAGAAATGGGAACTTTTCTACTTCGGGAAAAAAAAAAATCTGCCTTGTCAGTCATGTATCGAAAGATACATGATCTTCTACACGTGTATCACGCATGGCACATAACTGACTGACAACAGCATTAAAAAAGGAAACATTTTCGAATTTTGACGTCATTCCTTTCTTTTTGCCTCCAAATTTGCATCCATGGGAATTTGTTTTACTCAGTCTAAAAAAAAAAATGAAATATTCATCATTTTTTTTATCTCTATTGTTCAATGTGTTAAAAATTTTTCAACTTTTTAACAAGAAAAATTTCAAGTTGACTTTAAAAATTGCCGCAAAACATTGTTGATTTATTTAAGATGGAATATTATATGACATGTCTCTAATTTATATTTAGATATATTGTATTTATTTTCAGTTTTTCTAGTTGAATTGTTCAGCTTCATTGCATACGATCCATTATTGTACATAATTAGGTTAGATTAAAATTTGTATTTTATATGAATACTGTCTTAGGAATATTGAGATGTAGTAGCGTGGGTGGTCCCGTATCAGAGATTCGGGGGTGGGGCAAAAGACACTTGCACTGTCCGTTACTGGTGTTTCAAAATGATGCGACCATAGGCCTGTCCTAAAATGATATGACACAAGATGCTGTATTTGTTCAGCTAAACTCTTGGCCCCATCTATCTATCTATCTATCTATCTATCTATCTATGTTTTATCTCTTTTCAATATGTATCTATTACTTTTCGTTATCTATTTCATTCGGTTCATATCTATCTATCTATCTATCTATCTATATATATATATATATATATATATATATATATATATATATATATATATCTCTTTTCGATATCTATCTCAATCGGTTCATATCTATCTATCTATCTCTGTTTTTATCTCTTTTCTATATGTATCTATTACTTTCCGATATGTATTTCATTCGGTTCATATCTATCTATCTATCTATTCATCTATCTATCTTTCTATCTATCTATCTATCTATCTATCTATATATATATATATATATATATATATATCACTTTTCGATATCTATCTCAATCGGTTCATATCTATCTATCACTTTTAAATATCTATCTCAGACGGTTCCTATCTATCTATCTATCTATCTATCTATCTATCTATCTCTCTATCTATCTATCTATCTATCTATCACTTTTAGATATCTATCTCAGTCGGTTCATATCTATCTATCTATGTATCACTTTTCGATATCTATCTCAGTCGGTTCATATCTATCTATCTATCTATCTATCTATCTATCTATCTGAGTCAGGTTTATAGTTTTCATTACAACTAAGAAGAACCTATCGGAACGCATATGAAGAACCCCCCACCCCAAGCAAGTCCCGCACAAAGAGAGACAGAGAGAGAGAGAGAGAGAGAGAGAGAGGAGGGGGAGAGAGAGAGAGAACAAGACACACTCCCTAGATTGTATTAGCGTTCTACTGGGTTTGACCTATCCCCTGTCAGCCAGAACCCGACGCTCGCCCGACTCAGACACGTCGGCATCCTTTATTTTATTTTTTACTTTTGTCTTTTTTTTACATCGGCGGTCTTTTTCTGTCGTTCCTGTTGGCTGAACTTACCCAACTGTTTCTTTCTTTTCGCCGCTTCATCACGTCTCCTTCATATTCTCCCTGACCAATGTACTGTTCGTGGGTCGTTTTACACCAACCCACCCTCATCCCCCTCCTCCTCCTTCTCCTCCTCCCGACGCCCGCCGACAACAATAAAGATTGAAGGCTTACTCAACTGTGTCCAATGTTGCGATTAACCGAATGAAGTCTTCGTCCAATGAAAGATCTGATTTTATTAGTTGGCTACGAACGATCAACCCTTGCTTCTCTTTGCGAAACATGAGTCGTTAGGAAACCTTACACTGTGCGTCTATGTTTGGGGAGAGGAACGGCTTGTGGTGGACGGGTCAGAGAGAGACGTAGCAGTCAGCCAATGGGGAAATGACGGGCGAGGTTGGGCTGATCAAACAGAAAATAAAATAAAAGACATACACATAGATAGCTAAATAGCTAGCTAGCCAGATAGATATTTACTACAAGTAGCTTAGTTGCGGCACAATGCCGAAAGTATGCGACCTCCACTGAGGATCGAACTCACTAATCAGTCATAATTGAACGATTTGCTAAGCGTAGCTTAGATATGGGACGAGGCCGAAAGTTTGGAGGACATAGTGAGGATCGAACTCATAATTGAACTAGCAAGAGAAGCTTACACCATGTTGGGGTGTCCCACACAGATAGATAGATAGATAGATAGATAGATAGATAGATAGATAGATAGATAGATATGAAGAGACTGACATAGACAGATAGATAGATAGATAGATAGATAGATAGATAGATAGATAGATATGAAGAGACTGACATAGATAGATAGATAGATATAAAGAGACTGACATAGATAGATAGATAGATAGATAGATAGATAGATATGAAACTGAGACTGAGGGACAGAAATATAGAAATAGATAGATAGATAGATAGATAGATAGATAGATAGATAGATAGACTGAGATAGACAGATATCCAAAAGTGATTGACAGACGTAAACTGATATATATATATATATATATATATATATATATATATATACATATATATATATATATAAATATATATACGTACACTGGGGGCGAAAAAATATTGTCCTTTTTTTTATAAATGTAAAAAGCCTTAAATAAAAACAAATCTCGGCACATTTTATGTATAAAGACACATACTAATAAAAAAAAATAATAATAAACTTAATTCTTATTCTAACAGAAATTAATGCATTTTTTAATTCTAACTGGTGAAAAAAGTATTCGTACAAATCAATTATTAGAAGAAAATCATCAATTAATTATGAAAAAAGTATATTCTAGAATGTTCCAGTAATGGTATCAGTAATTATATTTAACGCTATTAGCCATTATCAGAGCATTCTGCAATTTCTAATCTTACGAGAAGGTTCTTCTAATGCCTAAAGGTAAAGAATTGACTATTTTACAAAAACAACACATTTTGTCTCTTTGGAAAGATGGGAACAGTTACAGAATGATTTCTAACAACCTGAATATTCCTTTTACTACAATTGTTTCGTTCATTGCAAGGTTTAAAACTCGTAACAGCCTCGAATACCAAAGACGAATAGGTGCTCCGAGGAAGATTTCTCTAAGATCAGCAAGGATATTAGGACGCCAGATCCAACATAATCCACAGGTTACTCGAGAAGAGCTGCAGGAACATCTGCGAACATTAGGGATTAAAGTAACCAAGCGTACAATAAGTAATGAACTACAAAAACAGTCTGAAATCACGCATCTCAAGGAAGACTCCACTCCTCTTGAAACGACACAGAGATGCTAAGCTAAAATTCGTTAGAGAGCATAAGGATAAAGAATATTCGTTTTGGGAAAAAGTACTATGGGCAGATGAAACTAAAATAGAGTTGTTTGGTCATAATTATCGAAATCATGTGTGGAGGAAGGACGGTGAAGCCTACTTACCAAAGAACACGTTGTCAACTGTTAAGTTTGGTGGTGGCAGTATCATGATCTGGGGCTGTTTTTCTGCAAAATTTGTTGGCAGAATATCAATAATAGATAGCAAGATGAATGCCGAAAGATACGAAAAAATCCTGCAAGACAATTTAATGCATTCTGTTGAGAGACTTCGGCTACCTATTGTTTGGGTTTTCCAACTGCTAGATCTATAAGGAAATGGTTAGCTGAAAGTAATGTTGATGTCTTGCAATGACCAAGTTAGTCCCCAGACTTGAACCCAATCGAGAATTTATGGCGATATTTGAATATTCAAATTGGGAAAAGAGTATCAACAAATATTAAGAATTTGAAGACAATATGCCAAGAAGAATGGGACAAAATACCACTCAATGTGTGCAAATCATTAGTTGAGACGTACAGAAAGAGACTGGCAGCTGTTGAACTAAATAAAGGATATTCCATAAAGTATTAAATTAAGTTAATATGCTTTTTTTGTTTTTGTATGAATACTTTTTTCATCAAAAAAAAATGAAAAAATGCATTAATTTTCTGTTAGAATAAGAATTAAGTTTATTACTATTTTTTAATAAAATGTATATTTACACATAAAATGTATCAAAATTTGTTTTAGTTAAAAGGCTTTTTACATTTATAAATATTTATTTCCCCACATATATATATATATATATATATATATATATATATATATTCAAGTATATATTAAGTATATTTATACACAAATACATAAAACAAAGGGGAAATACTTACTGTGTATAGTTTTGGATCCAAAAATATAACAACGAATGGATTTCAGCATAGGTTAGAAGTTGAAAACAAATTAACCAGAATTATAGAGCAACAACAATATAATGGATAGAGGCTTGGATTGGGGAATCGCAGAAGCGGGTTCGAATTCCAGTCGAGTTTCACTTACAAGCAAATACCCTTGGCAAAATGTATGAATCTATCTCATGCCGCCCAACACCCACACCAACTTTGGGTATGTAGCAGGAAATACTGCGTTGCCAGTCTAAGAGAAAGACAACTCTGAATTCAAAACCTGAGGGCCTGGTGTACGGATCTAGGGCGACCCGCACCATATTCCGTGGTCATCAGGCTGGTGGTCAAGAGTTTGGCGTTAGGTCAAGCTATCTGAGGAACAAAATTCAAAGTATGTTTCTTCTGTCCTCAGGTAATCCCGACGATTAAAACAGTCGGTCTGATGATGATAATGGTAGCCCAAATCTTATGATGATGATAGCTCACATTGTATGATAATGATGATAGCCCAAATTGTATATTGATGATGACAGCCCAAATTGTATGATGATGATGTTAGCCCAAATTGTATGATGATGATGTTACCCTAAATTGCATGGTGATGATGACTGCACAAATTGTATGATAATGAGTAAGCCCAAATTGTATGACGGTGATTTTAGCCCAAATTGTATGATCAGGAAAAGTGGCCCGTTTATTTGCTACTAGCAGTAGAGCCCGGCGTTGTAACAGTAAGAGATAGATCAAGTATCGACCATCATAAAAACTGAAAAATAAAATTGACAAAGATTTAATTTGTTTAAGGTTGACGGACACGCTTGTCTTAATTAGTTTTTTTTTTGTTTGTTTTTTGTTTGTTTTTTTTTATGAATTGGTCAAAAAAAAAACTCAAACAAAAACATTGTTTTCAATCGTTATGAGTCTACCGATTGAATAGAATTTTATTATAAACAATTGTCTTGTAAATGGAATTTTTAAAGCATTCTGAATGTAAAATAAAGAAAAAAGTGTGCAAGACAATAAGAAACACTACCTGCAAAAAAGTGAAGTTTTGTTGAAATCGGTTGAAATCCGTAGGAAATCCGATCCCATATATATAAACGAACACGCACACAAAAAACAACCTGGGTTTTATAATAAGTATAACTCGATATGAGTTGTCCCCCTTTCATTCTGGCGACAGAATCGTGTTTTATCGTGTTTTCAAATTGATTTCGTGCAAAAACAATTGTTTTTCCAATTTTTGGCGCTGTCAGAACCACCGCAAGGTAATTTTACGCAGTCCTGTGAAGTTTTGTTGAAATCGGTTGAAAAATGTAGGAAATCCGATCCAATATATAAACGTACAGACACACACACACACACACACATAAATTAATAATGCAAAATGAAAGTTGAGCTCACTAGAAAACAATTCACTGTTAATAACACATTCTCGAATTGCCCAGCCCCCTTATTCTGTTGGTATATTAAACTGAAGGTTACACATCCTACGCATGCCCAACCAAAAAAAAAAAAAAATATACCACAACTCACCTGTGGGGCATACGCCCCACGTTGGTAATCATTTATTTAAATGTGTCATGCTAAAAATATGCTACTAATCAGAACCTTATCATGCTTCTCATCTTCATGTTAATTAACAAAAACTTTACTCATTTGATAGACTGCAGACGACAAATCTGCCTATAAAGCCGCGTTTGGAGGAAGGATCATCTCTATTACAGGATTGTTGAAGATGGGCAATGTCATTAATTTAAATGGTCAATCGTCCCTTCTAACCCAGAAAAAAAAATCTCTTTTCTGTTCCAAGTGTCATGAAGACGAACTAAATGCACAATATGGCGCCCTAACCGATTGACCAGATTCCAGAAAGTCATAACAAAGCGATACCATTGTTGTCTCATCGATTCCGACGGCGTTTGAAGTTGTTTTAAATCAAGTATGCTTATCTCAGAATAAATCTCCTTCAAGGATGATATTTTG